ATTGAGCAGTTGGAATCATCAATTGGAATCCCAGGGAGGAAGCCAACAATACCTGAGTGAGCACAGGGATGACAGTGATGGTGGCAGAGAGGACCAGGGAAATTATTTTATGTAACAGGGAATGTCTAAGTGGGGGTGACTGATCCGGGTAGATATTGGAAGGAAGCCTGACGCAATGGTGCTGGAGTAGGACCAGCTTATGGGGGAAGAGGATAGAGTTCCCTGACTATTTGTGGTAGAACCCTACAAGGGACCACTGTGAGTGGCCTGAGTAACTCAGGTGCTGAGATGGCTGAGAAGGGGCAGGGCCAATCCCTAAGTTGGAATCTGAGTTGGGGCTTTGTGAGCTGTGCTTCAGATGTGTCACAGATGGGCTGCAGGCACACAGATGCTGAGATGGATACCATTGAACACGTGTTACGCTTTGACGGTGATGAGGCAATGGGAGCAAGAACAGAGGAGCTGCGTGGAAGGCCTGTCTGAGGAGATCTCCTCACTCTAGCCTAGCTCCTATGACCAGATACCCAAGGCTCCAAGCAAGACACTTCTGAGCCAAGAGTCCCCTTTAGGGCCTGAGCCCAACACTTAACCTCATAACCCAGTTCTCACTGGTAAGATGAGGTCCCTGCTGAGTAAAGCAGCAGTGGGAGGGGGGCATGGCTTCCCCTTCCATGAACACAACCCTGTCTACAGCCGAACTGTCTGCCAGAGGAGCCTGGAAGCCCCAGATGGACAGCCTCCACAAATGCTCACACGTCACCCCTATAACGCTTTCCCTATTCAGGAAAAGTGTTTTACCCACCTCCAGGGTGTGATCTCCTATGATTGCAAGAGAGACAGAAGCAGCCAGAAGCAGCAGGTGGGCAGGTAGCTGGGGAAAAGGGGTACACCCCAATCCTACTGCATTATTGATCTCAGGATGGAACAAGAGCCCCAGGGAACAAGAGGAGCTAGCTCCCTGGCTGGCATGGATTGGACGTGTCTGCCAGCTGCAAGGCCTGCCAAGAGCTGAGCAGGGTCTAGGCTGATGAGGAGGAAGGAGAGGAGAGGAGAGGAGAGGAGAGGAGAGGAGAGGAGAGGAGAGGAGAGGAGAGGAGAGGAGAGGACGGTCATTTGCTTACAGTTCCTGCTGGCTGTCAATGGAGAAGACAAGTTGAAACTCCACCAGGTAACTCCCAGATTACCTCAGGTAAATTTTCTGAAGCCTGAAGGGTTCTCTATTGAGTGAGGTCACATAGAACCCTGATGGGGGAGGGTATCCAAAGCCCTGGTGGCTAGGGAGGCTTGGGGTAGCTTATACAGCCTAGCAAAACACTCTGGATGCTTGACGGCCCTGGTGGGTATGGTCAGGAACAAGGCTCATAGAATTAGCCAACATTGTACCTGGTTCTTAAGACAGCCGGGAGTAAAAAGCACCCGAGAGCCCAAGGTTGCCCTTTGAGGGATCCTGGGTGCAGACCTGTTCTGACTCATGTTGGCTTAGACACAACGAGCCTCTGAGGTGAGCACCTATGAAGGAACAGAAGGGGAAGGAGGCAGGTGGACAAGGTTCACGGGGAAGCCCTTAGGGAGAACGTGTCAATGGCAGAGATGCTCAGACTCCGGTGGAGATGGATAGACAAACGGACCAACTCACCTATGAGCCGTGCCAAGACCTCTACCCTGTATCCAGCACCACTACCAGCTCTCAGAGTGAGGAGGTCTCAGATCCTCACCAGGAAAGGGGGAACATATTCCCAGCCCCTGGAGTTAAAGCAAACCATCGGGGACACATCAGTATCTGAGGGGCAAGTTGCAGGAAAGAGTTCTAGGAAGATGCACCAGATCTCTCTAATCTAGCCCTCTTGGGAGAACACTGGGGATCTGGGAAGATCCCATGGGAACAGCCACTCCCAGTCTTCCTCTGGAGAGCTGAGAAAGAGCTCCCTATAGGCCCTGAGAGTACTGTCCCAAAACAGTAACCTGCTGTTACCAGACCTGCACCCTACAAGGTTGACCTCAGAGTTTTCTCAACGTCTGCCCTGTTCCCTGCTCATCTGAGAAGACCCTGGTCACCCAATTGGTTCTTCCCAATGAAGGGCATCCCTGGGCCCTGCTTAAACACTGTACACAGGAAGCCCTCAAAGCTACAGTGACTCTGCCCCTCTTCACCTGGGGCCAGGCACAACCTCAGACACAAAGCTATCACCACAGAGGAGCGATCAGACAGTCAGAATACCTCTTGTGCAATTGTTCTCATGGGTTGTTTAAGGGTGTCACTATGGAGGAGGGCTGACTCCTACTCAGCCAGCCTGGATCCCCAGCAAAGCAGGGTGTTTAGGGTAGCAGGTTCTATGTAGAGCACAGCCACCACCAGATAGATTTGAGTCAGTCACAGCAGAAATCCTTTGGACCAGGGAGACTAAAGCCAGGTGATGGGTTCCCGTGTCCAGATTCTGGAATTCGGAAGCCACAGGCTTTGGACTCCCCACCCATCTCCAGCAGCCAGTGTTTGTCTACCACGGTATCAGAAGTGAAAACACAGTATAGAAGATACAGCATGGGCAGGTGGGTTCCAGCACCCAGGCATGTCCCTCCCAAATGGGAGCTGCAGGCACAACCCAATCCCGACTAGAAGATGGGCCATCTGGCCAGTGCCTGCAGGCCCTCAGGCTCTATACACCGAGGCAGGGCACAGGGGACAGATCAGGGCTAATGTGATTGCCACAGTCAGTGCCCCTCTGTGCCCCAGGCCCTTCCAACAGCCCCACAGGACAGCCCACTCCATTACAGAGCTCGCCTAATTAGGGTAATTAAAATGAAAGTAATCAAAGTAACATAATAGGAAATTTCTTAATAAGCCCTCACCACTGCCGACTGAAAGAGTTTTGTGCCTTTGTGAATGTCAAGGAGCTGAAGAGAAGGTGGGAAAAGGTGGGCTGTACGGGGAAGCGGGCCTTGCTGGCTGTACCCACCTCGCACCCTCAGACCCAGTCTCTCTGTATCACAAATCCTTCCACAGGGAACTGTGTGCAGACCGTATCCCAGGAAGCTACCCCACCCCCCAGCAGCCTTGTCTCCAGTCCCCAGGGCCCCCAGAAGAACCAATGCTGACCCATACCCGGACACTTTGGTGAGGCAAGTTGGGAGGGGCCACCCAAAGCACACCCCTCTGCAATCATACAAATTTGTTTACCCACCATGCCCTGTAGGGCAGCTGACCAAGCCGGGACTGATTCTCAGGGCCCAGTCCCTACTTCCTCTTTCTAAAACATCACCCTATCCCCCCTCCTCGGTCTAGACCAGGTCATTCCCAACAAAGGGTTCAGCCAGAGTCAGAGTAACCCCAGGAAACAGGCTGTGGGCACAGAACTAGATCCTAGCCTACTTGCCCAGTGGGGCCAAGGACTTGGGGCAAATAAGAAAACCACAAGACCCCAATGTGGACAGAGACCTGCAGGGAGGAGAATGGGACCGGGAGTGATATGGAATAAAGAAGCCATCAGGTCATCCAAGGTTGAGTTCTCGGACGCAGAGACAAAGCGTGAACGTGCGGGGCAGGGAATAATATAAGGCATGGGACAGTTCACCCGGAACCCAGGCACTGTACATTCCTGAGCCTCCCGCCTCCAAGACTTAGGTTCTCTCCTCCAAGGCTGCCCTGTGAAGTCCAGTGAAGCCTTACCTACTTTGGTCCTCCCCGAAGCCTGAGCAGGCCTGGCCACTAGAGGGCATAGCTGAGCAGCCAGGCAGCTTTGGGATGTTGACACTCTCCCTGGAAACTAGCCCCGCCCACTTCCGTGTCTACAGTGTTGGGCCAGTGTCTCTAAGGGCCTAGAGCCCCTGGGGCTGACCAGCAGCTGCACCCACTACCCTCGACCCTGGCCTAATAAGAAATTTGAGTCATCAGAACCTTTCCATGCCCAGATCTGGCTGGTTCAGCTTGTGAGTGTGAGCAGGGTAGGCATATGTACATGTGTCTGTCACGGAGGGCTACTTGGGGCCAAAAGTAGTTCCTGGGGTAGAGGGCAGGGTTAGAAGACAGATTTGTTCTAGAGTATTTTTCTGAGCAACCATAGGTTGTCTGGTAGTGCTCCCCACCACAGGTTGCTAATAGTGCTCTGCACCATAGGTTGTCTGGCAGTGTTCCCCACCATGAGTTGTCTGGTAGTGCCCCCCACCGTGGGTTGTCTGGTAGTGCTCCCCACCATGGGCTGCTGGTAGTGCTCCCCACCATAGGTTGTCTATGCTTCCACCGTGGGTTGTCCAGTAGTGCTCCTCACCGTGTGTTGTCTGGTAGTGCTCCTCATTATGGGTTGTCTGGTAGTGCTCCCTACCACCACCGGTTGTCTGGTAGTGCTCCCCACCGTGTGTTGTCTGATAGTGCTCCCCACCATGGATCGCTGGTAATACTTCCACCAAGGTTTGTCTGGTTGTGCTCCCCACCATGGGTTGTCTGGTAGTGCTCCCCACCCTGCTCCAGACCTGGCAGGCAACTCTTAGCCCTAGCCCTCAGCCTGCATCACCCAGGCGTGAGCAAGTGGGTAGGGATGTGGTGCTGGGTTGGAGTTTGAGTCACTTATTTACCTTCCTGGAGGTAGATGGAGCCAGGCATCCCAGCATCTGCCCAGGCCCCTGATCTCTTAAGCACTCAGTTTCTCTCCCTAACTTGAACACCAAAGCCCTCTTAGGCTGACCTGAGTAGGTAGGGTCCCATCCCACTGAGGCTCAAGAGATAAGAGTAACTTGAAACCCAACCTGATGGGCCCTAGCAGAGCCCATACCCAGCTTTGGAGACTGCCTGCCTAGAGAGTGCCACAAATATCTCTTTAGTGGCCAGGTATCAGGTTCCACTCAGTGGGGTCTGCACAGATTCTGAAGACTCAGTGGCCGAAGCTGGGAGGCCAGGCTCAAGGGTGGCAGCAGGGCAGGTGACCATGACAACTCAGACACTAACTACAGTTGTCCTCCTCCAGGTACCCAGGAAAACCAAAAATGGGCCAGTGGGGACTGAGACCGTGATGTCAGCTCAGGGGCTTGTGGCCTGCCTCTGCCAGGAGGGGGACAAGCACCTGGCCCTGGGGGAGCTGCCCTTAGCCACAGCCTTCTACCTGGCGGCCTTTAGCTGCCACGCCCCTTCAGCCGTGCAGCATGTACAGGCTCTCCTGGCTGAGGACCCAGGGGCACCTGTCGTGGCCACCCTGGAGGCCTGGTGTCGTGGGGACAGCCAGATCCCTGCTATCCACTGGGATGGCATGGTGGTGGTCTCCCTGACTGGGCCACTGGCCTCTGCCTTCCTCGGTGCCATTTGTCCAGATCACCCTGCCACTGTCTTGTACCTTTTGGCTGGCCTGCTGGCCCAAGGGCGTCACGTGGAAGTGGTGCGGCGCTGTAACAAGCTGTTGGATGCGCACTCCCAACAAGCCCTGGAGCTGCAGCTGACGCGTGCCCTGGCCTGGGTCTTGTCTGTGGACCAGGCCAGAGAGGGCATAGCTGCCTATCTTCAGAACTTTGCCTCCAGCGCAGACCGGACAGTGGCCTTCATCCGTAGCCACCAGCAGCCCTACCTCCCCAGGCTGCTTGGCACACTCCAGAACTACCTCTCAGGACACTTGAAGACCATAGGTAGTGCCAGCCAGCAAGAGACCAACTGCCGGGGACTTCTGGAAGCCCTGGACCCCAGAGGCAGCTGGATGGGTACCATGTCACCAGAAGCTCTGCTTCGTAGAGGCAGGTTTGAGGATTGCCGGGCAGCATGCAGCCGGGACATTCAGCCTGATTCAACAGGGAGTAGACCCAAAGGTAGGAGAGTGACTCATAAAGTCACATTCCCCAAGAGCCTTGGCGACAGTCGCTCCAGCCACAGTGTAAACCTACCTATGATGGGACCAGAACTGGGTCTGGGCGGGGCTGGGCTGGGGCGGGGCTGGGGTGGGACTGGGACGGAGCTGGGGACACCACAGTGAAAAGACAGACAACCCAAAAAAGGAGCAAACAAAATTCTTGCCTTACTAAATGCAAGGCACAAATCTGGCTGTCAGTCAGGGAAGGCGTCTCAGGAGAGGTGGTTTTTCAGAATCCACGTATAACAAAACAAAACAAAACAAACAAACAAACAAAACATGCCAATGTCCTTGGGAAGAAACTTGAAATGTCTTTGCCACCAAATAGTCAGGGTGGCTGAAGGGGAGGAGGTGGCAGCAGGCCGGGGTCTAGAAGAGTCTGGATTTTACTCTTAAAACCACAGGAGGGTTTTCAAACCGATGTGAGCATGCTTCTTCTGCTGTTGTGTATGGACTTTGATTCAGGAGCCAGAGGGGGGCGCTAGACCCGCTGGGACCTAGAAGGCTGGGGGAGGCTGAGGGAAAGCTGAAGGAGATGAATGGGAAAACAGAGGCTGGAGGGATGGAGCTGGAAAGGTGGGAGGCTAGGAAACAGAGAGGAGGCTGGGAAGTTGGAAGGATGGCCCAGACCAGGACTATCTATCAAGGGTCCTTGGACTCAGACAGGAGACCATGGTCCTCACCTGGGAGAGAGCATTGCAGAGTGAGAGCCACTGAGTCATTTGTAGCAGGACTGTGGACACAGTTAATGAAGGACCAAGAATGATTTAAAGAGCTAGCCTTGAAGACTTGACTGCAGAGGGGTTGGGTGGGGCAGCAACCTTGTGCTACCCGCTTTCTCTTACTATAGCAAAATACCTTAGATAACCAAATTAGAAAAAGGTTTCTTTCCGTCGGCCGGGTTTTGTGGATTTCAGTCTACGGTCAGCTGTCCAGAGAGTCTCATAGGACACCAAGAGGCGAGCACACAAAGCTCCTTTGTTGGGATGTGGTAAGAGGGACAAAGTGTCTGTTGAATGGCAAGGTACAGGGAGGAGTCAGCTGGAGAGAACTGGGAGGCTCCATGTCTTGGCTCTGATATATCTGGTAGGCAAAAGTGCATTACATCATATAAGCTGGGCAGAGTGGCACACATCTTTAGTCCCAATGCTTGAGAGGCTGAGTTGCATATCTCAGAGTCTGAGTCTAGCCTAGTCTACAAAATGAGTACTAGAACAGCCAGAGTCACATACAGAAGCCCTGTCCCCCTCAAAAAATAATAAATAAATATTTTTTTGAAGATACAAAAGTAGGGGCTGGAGAGATGACTCATCGGTTAAGAGGTCCTGGGTTCAATTCCCAGCAACCACACGGTTGCTCACAACCATCTGTAATAGGATCTGATGCACTTCTGGTGTGTCTGAAGACAGCTATAGTGTACTCGTATAAATAAAATAAATAAATAAATAAATAATATTTATTTTAAAAGATACAAAAGTAGAGACAATGAGAAAATGTAATACGTTTTATAAAATTAAAATTTTAAAGTTTTTCTCACACACCTATACAAGATGAAAGGACAATTCTCAGAGAAGAAAATGTTTTCAAAACATATGATGGCAGAAAAAGACAACCACATGCAAAGTACTTGTGGAATACCCACTTATCAGCAAGGCAAATGAATAAAGGAATTGAAGAAAAAACTTTTCCCCAAAGAGAAAACACAGATAGCAAGCAAAACATGTGGGAAATTGTTGGCACCATGGTAACAGGATGGAGGCAAATTAACACAATGGAAAAGTATTTTCTTCGGACACAGCCTATTGGAAAGAAAATTAATTAATGAACCCCAGAAAAAATGAAAGTTAAAACCGTGGAGTGGCAGCTTAGAGGACCCAGGCTGTCAAAACTGCTAAAGGTAACAGTAGATCTGGTCCTGGGAAAGAGCAGCCTATCCCACAGGCAACAGCCTCCTAATTTGGATAAAATATCAAAGGCAAGTTCTGACAGTGTCAGACGGTCACTGCCTGGACACATAAAACTGGGGCTACATGAGGTAAGACCACAACTTGGAGATTTTTTCCCTCTGTGCTGGATTAAACACAAGTAGGAGAGAAGTCTAAAGCATCAGGTGGCAGCTTCAGGAACTAAAAAGAGAATTTGCTTCCGAATACAGAGAGAATTTGGAGTTTGAGTCTAGATAAAGCAACTGGTTAAAGTTTAGCCCTCATCTGAAGCACGTAACTAAATCCAGAGTCTTTAGGAAGGAAGCATCACTCAAATGTCTGGGGTACAGTTTAAGAAGTTCTAACTAGGATATATAACTCAGCGGTTAAGTGTTTTCCTAACGTGTACACAGAGCTGGGTTTGATATCCAGCACCACCCCCACCCCAAAATGGAAATTAACTGAGAAGAAAAATAATAATGAAAAAAGTCAGTGTTGTAGAGACGGGAGAAGAGTCAGCAAAATTAAAAAAAAAAAAATAGAGAGTCTCTGATATGGGAAACTGAAGAACTGGCCTGTGGGACAATTAAGAAATGTATTGTGCGTGGCTGTATTCTTGGACGGAGATATGGGTGTGATGTCAGCAGCTCCTGGGGGCCTCTGCTGCTTCCGAGGCTGACCTTCTGTTCACAACGTTTTGTTTCCACCCTTGGCTTCTAACACCAGGACTGGGCGGGTTTCTCGGCCAGTCTGTGCAAGCCGATTGCTTGTTGTTTTACTAGCCTCGGTGACGTGGCAGTGTGTTTCCCACATCCATCCTCAGAGCCCGGGGAGTATCCATAACTATAACTCCCATCTAACAATGGGAAGGGGACAGACACCCAGCCCAAGGCCCAGGTCCACCCACTCTTCTGATAAGGACTTCAGATAACTGAACGCCTCCTTTCTGGCCCCTCTGCTGTCTCTGTGTCCTACAGAGAAGTGTTGAGTCCCAAGAAGGCAGAACAGCAAAGATGTCCAGAACTGGTGACCCTACAAAGTCCGAGTCAGAACCCCGGCTTCACAGAATGGGCTAGGTGTGGTTACATCCCTGAAAAGAAAACTAAAGCCCATCATTAAAAGTCAAGGCAGAAAGGAATATAAATAAACTTCCATTTGGGCTAACAGGTGATGCCTACAGGAGGCACTCTGGAGAAGCAATGCTGGGTGGCACCGGGAGCTGCTGGCTGTGGTGCTGGCACAAGTCCTGTGGCATAACTCTCTGGGTGTCCACGGGCTCGGAGTCAACCTTGTGGTTCTGGAGCCTTGGGTTCCAGCAGACTTTGGGGAGATACCCTGAGCTGACAGAGCGAGCTGTAGGAAGGCAGACCACACCTGTTTCTGTCCCTAGGTGAGCACCTGGCAGCCCTGCTGGTCACCCGCGCGGTCGCCACCTTCTTTCAGGATGGCCCAGTCGGGGACATGCTGCGGGACCTACAGCAGGCCTTCAGCGAGAGCCCCGCTGGCGCGCGGAGGCAGTTCCAGGCCCTGCTGTCAGCCGAGGAACGCGAACGCCTGCAGGGGCAGGCGCAGGAGGCCGCGGACTTGGGCTTCGCCCGCTTCCTGGAGGCAGTGCGAAGTCGCGCCGAGCTGCGCCGGGATGCGGACCGCGAGCTCTTGGTTCCCGTGACCCGCGCGCTCCGTGTCCTGCTCCGCGTGGCGCCCGCCAGACGGCGACCCGCGCTGGGCACTCGCCTGGCCGAGTGCCTACTGTTGGCCGGGGACGTGGCGGGGGCTCGCGCGCAGTGTGAGCGCCTCCTCCGACCCAGGCGTCCCGGGGAGCGCGCGGGAGACCGCACCGGAGAGCACGCGCCACTGCTGGCACTGCGCGGCTTTTGCGCCCTGCACGCGGGCGATGCGCGGCGCGCGCGAGAGGACTTCCAGGCGGTCGTGGAGCGCGCGGCGCCGCACGCGGGAGGCTGCGTGCGCGCGCTGTGCGGCCGAGGGCTGCTGCGCGTGCTGGCTGGCAGCGCCTTCTTGGGCGCTCTGGACTATGTCACCGCCTGCCGGCTGCGTCCGGAGGAGGCGCTGGTGGTCGCCAAAGCCTACGTACCCTGGAACCATCGAGGGTTGCTGCTAACCGTGCTGCGGGAGGAGGGCCGCAAGATGCTGCTGCGCTCGCCTAGCTACGCAGCGAAGGCTGCGCAGGCGCAGGAGGGGTGAGAACCTGGCCCAGCGCCGGAGGTGTAGAAGCTAGCAAGGGAAGTCTGATAGAAAATTGCGCTGGGATCCGCTAGATGGCTTCCCTAGGCCAGGGCTGAATCTCAGATCCTGGATCTCAGAAAGTGGTACCCTGTGGGCTTTCTCTCCTTTATGTCAGGAACAAGCTGGAGGTGTTGGCTCATACCTGCAACCCCAGCACTTGGGAAATTGATGCAGGAGGACAGCCTGAGCTCCACAGTGAATTCCAGTCCAGCCTGGGCTACATACAAAGTGAGACTTTGTCTCAAAAACACAAAATCCAAACAAACCAAAAAGTCAAAATCGAAGGGGGCAAGGGGCCGGAGAAATGGCTTAACAGTTAAGAGTGAGTCCTGATAAGAGCCTAGTTTCTAGCACTTGACTTAGTAGCTCACCTCAGCCTGTAAGTTCGGCTTCAGGGGAATCCCATGCCTCTAGCCTCCAAGGGCTCTTACCCTCATTTACATACACACTCACGCGTGCTCACACACACAATTTTAAAAATGATTTTCTTGTTCTATTTTGTATCTTTTTGTTTTTTTAATTTGCTGGCCTGCATGTGTATCACATGGGTGCAGGGCCAGCAAAAACCAGAAGAGGGCGCCAACTCTTCGGATTTGGGAATTACAATTGTGGTCACCAAGAGGATGGTGGGAATCTAACCCCTGTCTCCTAGGAAAATAGCCAGTGCTTTTAACCACCCAGCCATCTCTCTGCCCACTCCCCACCGCAACACACACACACTTTTTCCTTTTTAAGTGAAAAAAACCTAAAATCCTTGAACATTAGTCCCCTGCAGTGTGTAGTTCTAGTTGTTTCTTTTTGTGCACACACAGTGTCTCAAAACATGGAGGTTTTGCTGAAACTGCAGCTTGTCCCACCTGCAGTAGAGAATGAGTTCTAAGTTTCTCTTTGTGGCTAAACACATTTGTGACACCTTGTCTTCACAATGCCTTGACTCCTGGGCAGCAACAAGGAAGGGTCTTTGATTTCAAGTGCTGCCCACCCTGCCCTCCCAGACACACGTGACACAGTGCTGCCTGGTGGGTGCACCTCCAGCTGCCTAGCCCTCCCCCACTACTGTCAGTCCACACCCCACACCTCTGCACGAGCTTTCTCTGCCCTGGTGTGAATTGCTGTTGCGATTATGGTTCTTTGTGATGAGCCCAGCAAAGCCAAACCGTCAATTCTTGTGTTTACAAAAAGGAAACTGAGGCGGGGTCTGCTGGGATCCTTAGGCAGATTTGGTGCTTACTTCTGTGTAATGCCTGCCCCATGGGGTGGGTAGGAGGAGCAGGGAGAGAGAGTGAAGGAGCAGGTTAGGAATCTGGACAGAGGTGATCTTCCCTCTGCATCTCAATGGGAAAGGGGTTGCCCAGACTATGGGCATGGATGGGAACAAGACCTCAGTGGAGTACGTGTACAAAAAGGCCTGCCCCACACTGACACCCTCTCCATAGGGATGCCTACGGTGTGTACCAGCTGGCCATGCTGTTAACAGAGATGGATGCAGAGGATGAGACTTCCTGCCTCTTGGCAGCTGATGCCCTGTACCGCCTGGGCCGCCTGGATGATGCTCACAAATCCCTGCTGGTGGCTCTTTCCCGGAGGCCCCAGGCAGCCCCTGTGCTGGTGCGACTGGCCCTGCTTCAGCTGCGGAGGGGCTTCTGCTATGATGCCAACCAGGTGAGTAGGCCCAGGTAGGCTGGTGCAGGGAAGGAATGGGCACAGCTTTGCAGGGGACACTATGTATCCTGTACAGCTTTGCAGGGGACACTATGTATCCTGTACAGCTTTGCAGGGGACACTATGAATCCTGTACAGCTTTGCAGAGGACACTATGTTTCCTGTACAGCTTTTCAAGGGACACTATATATCCTGTACAGCTTTGCAGGGGACACTATGTATCCTGTGGCCCCAGATCTGCTCCCTACAGTCTGGACTCTGGAAAAGCCAGACCCACTTCACCACCTGTATCCAGCCCTTGTCTCTCTGACCCTCATTTTCCTCATCTGTGCCTGTTCTTGTAAACTCTCAAGGGAATTAGGTGAGACCCCTGGGACCTGAGGGGTGCTTGCTTACACGAGGTACTTCTGATTTGCTTTGGCTGTGATATAGTGAAAAGTGACCAAGAACCAGTGCTTTATAGGCTGCGTTCCTACTCAACCCTCCCAGATAAGCTGGACTTGAACGTAACTCAGCCTGGTACAGAAGCGTGGGTTTTACAAGGCCCTTGACCCTGCTTGCCAGCCTCTGAGAACCCTCCTCTGGAATCGCAGAGTTTAGGACCTGGATTAGGTGTTGTGGGGCTTTCTGTTTACACCGAGGTTCTGTTTCTGGGGGATTTGGGGCCTCAAAGTCTGGGCTGAGGGACCAGTCAACCTCTTTGTTCTTCTCTGGCCTGGCTGGAATCCTGATCCAGTGGGCAGACAGGTGGGCAGAAAGATCGTCCTAGAACCAACCAATCCTTTTCCACCAGGGACAGGAATCTGCACCAGGCTCATGGGGAACAATGTTGCATCTGCCAGACTGGAGTTATGGAGGGAGGAGCTTATATCTGCTGAGGACACCTGGCTAGAGCCTGGTCAGACTCCTTGGCTCTTGGTAAACACCTCCTGAGGAGCTCCTCGAGTCCCTGTCACATGCTGTTCTGAAGGTCGCTTGCACAAGCTTGTTGTTTAAGCCTTCCTTGTGTCAGCATGTTGGGGTGGAGTCTCCAGCCAGGTGACTCAGGGAAAGGAGAGCCCCACCCCACCTAACCATTTTGCAGAGTGGGCTTCCCCTCTGCCCAGCCCTTCCTTGTTCCCCTCATCCCTGTCCTTGTGAGACTCTTTAAAGGGAGACAAACACACCTTCAAAGGTTTAAGTGGCTGGGGCTGCAATTCATGGAAAACCTTCCAGGGCTCAGAATAGACAGCTTTCCTCGACCCCAGACTTGTGGAAACAGAGCCAGGCCCTCCTACTGGCAGCAACTGCTGGAACGGGCATGGATAGGAAGAAAAGGGGGCTAGCGGTGAGGACTGTAATGACTCTGATCTCACATCTACAGCTAGTAAAGAAGGTAGCCCAGTCTGGAGACACTGCCTGCCTCCAGCACACGCTGGATATCTTCCATCATGAGGACCTGCAGCTTCTGCAAGGCCACTGCCATTCACGGGCATTACGTATCCTGTGGGCCCGGCCAGGTGGGTCAGACAGTGAGGCCCACACCAGGGAAGCCATCGCCTATCTCTCTTTGGCCATCTTTGCTGCAGGTAGGAACCCCTGCCAGCCTCGGTCCAATCCTGTGCCAGATGCACAGGGCACACATGGGATCTGTGAATGAGCTTGCTCCGAAGTATCCTGCACCCTGGAGCCTCCAGGGTGTGGACAAGACTGGGACCATTTACCAAGAGCACCCCAGAACCCCTGGCTGTCCATGAACATACCAAGGCTTGAGAAGGGCCTGGGCTAACTGAGACACTGCCCTGTTCCTGATCTGCCCTCCCCTGCAGACTCCATGCTGAGATGTCAGCCAGACCTTGGCTCCCCTGAGACTTTCACAGTAGTGACAGGTTCTGTATGGCCATACCTGCCCTCCACACATCACCAAGGCATCCCATCTGGGTTGCAGCAGGACTGCCCTGGGTGTGCTGGAGCACAGTATGTGAGAGCCATGGTGCACATACAAGTCCCTGGACGTCAGCGTGGCCAGGGCTGGAGGTAGTGTAGACCTCCGTGCAGATTGTGGTGACTTCTTGGTGACTTGTACTGGCATCTCTCCACTGCTCCTCCTCAGAGTAAGTGGAAGAGAGCCCATGGGAGGGAAGTGGTTAGTGAACCGATTCCTGCAGGTCGCTGTGTGGTTCCCTGTGGGAATACCAGACAGATATACAGGAGGAGTATGGTGGCAGCATGCTATTTGGTGGTCAAGCTGTGCCTGACCACGCTTTCTTCCTTCAGAGTTCCTTTCCAGAGTTCACTGGGAATTGTTGTCCACTCATGCATACCTACTATGTGCTTCTTTTCTCTAGCCTGGACTAACTTGTTCTCTCAACCTCTGCCTACTCCCCCCAAAACAGAGTCATAGACTTTCCTAGAATACCCCAACCGTCTGCCAGTCCTCCCAGGAATCACCTCTCCTGGTTGGGTCTCTCCTGTCCAGTGGCCAGTTATCCTGGCTACCTGACCCTGTCTCAGTACCCAGTGGGGTGGTTGCTCCCCAGGGTGGACCTTGTGTCCCCGTGCCCACCAAGGTTGAGTACTAGATGGGACCCTGGACAAGAGGGCCAGCCAAAGCTGTGTCTGACCACATTTTTTTCCTTCAGGAAGTGGAGCCAGTGAGTCCCTCCTTGTCCGAGCCCGCTGTTACGGGCTCCTGGGTCAGAAGAAGACGGCCATGTTTGATTTCAACTCCATACTTCGGGAGGAACCAGGGAATGTGAAAGCTCTGTGTGGGCGAGCTCTCCTGCATCTGGCCCTGGACCAGCTGCAGGTGCCAGCCCATCCTCCCCACCCTGGGGCTGGGCAAGCAGGAGTAAGGGAGACCATAGTGCTGGCTTCCTCCTCCCCTGAAGGAGGGTGAGCGAGATCAGGCCTTCCAGCCCTCGGGATTGTACATCAGAACTCCACATTCTCCTCCTCACAAGCACTAGCGGGGATGGAGAGCCACATTCCCACAGATCCACCTTTGAGTAATCCTTCCTTTCATGCTTCGACACCTCAGTCTGCGTGGATAGGTGTGCAAGCCCCAAGGGGCCACTAGTGGATCTTAAATGATTTCACAGTGAGTGCCGGTAGTAGTTAGGCCGTGGATAGTCAGAGCTGGGGGAAGGTGGAAAGCTAGTCGAGACAGACCTTCTGAGTCTCCAGGGAGAGAAAATGAACCATGGGAATGATCCCTCCCACCCTGACACTCATGGGCTCTCCTTCCTTGCAGGAAGCTGTGGATGATATGGTCTCCGCCCTGAAGCTTGATCCGGGCACTGTTATCCCCGAGATCCTCTCCCTGAAGACAGAAGTTCAGTTGCCCCTTACCCAGGGCCTGTATACCCACTGCCGGGTCCTCCTGAACCAGTGTCTGGACACTGGGGTGCCCCTTAGGGAAAAGGACACCCAAGGCCTCCTTGCCATGGGGGAGGCACTGGTTAGAATCAATGCTGCACAGCCCAGTTGGCACCTGCTTCTCACAGACATCCTCACAGGGCTGGGTATGTGTAAGAGCAGGGGACATAGGCCTCTGTCCCACATTCCTGATCCTCTGTGTTATTCTCCGTGGAGAAAGAGCCCTGGTCTATGGCTTCTCAGATTCCAAATCCTGTGACCTCCAATCCCTGTGGGGCCTGTGAAGTGGCAACTTCTGGATTTTTGTTTGTTTGGTTTGGGTTTTTGAGACAATGTTTCTTCTCTGTGTAGCTTTGGCTACCCTAAAACTTGTTCTATAGACCAGTCTGACCTCAAATTTAGAAAATCACCTGTCCCTGCCTCCTGAGTGCTGGGATTAAAGATGTGTCCTACCACCACCTGGCTTTACCCTCTGGGGTTTCAACTCACATACCCCTGCTGGCAGAGGGAAGACCCCAAGAAGGATTTGTCCATTCACATGTGTCATGTGGGTTTCTGTCGCCCTTGTTTGAAGGGAAGCTCTCTGTAACCTGCCTTTGTCCTCCAAAGACTTCAGGGGGCTACCCCACAGCTATGCTCTTACCGGGGCTAAGTCTGCACTCGTCAACTGGACTCCACCAAAGACAGAGTAGGGGACATCAAAGTAGTTCCCTAGGGCTAGATGCCCGGCTTCCTGGGCATGCCTCCATCTCAGCCATACCCACATTCACTGAACATCTTTCCCTGGTCCCCACAGGCAATTATCAGGAGGCTGGCACCCACTTGCAAGAAGCCCTACACCTCACCCCATCATCAGAGGCTGCTCAGGCCCGGAGAGGCTTGCTCCAGCTTAAAAGGGGAGATGTATCAGCTGCTGCCCATGACTTGCAGTGCCTGGCAGAGATAGATACTCAGGAGCTCGGCTTCCTGTTACGTCTCCTTGAATCCCCAGAGCGGCAGAGTCTCATGCAGGTATGTTGCACCCCATAAGCCCTGTGCTGACTTTGTCCTGGGACCACGAGCTTCAGGACTCCATGCTTACCCCAGGCAGTTCCTCCCTTCTTGCTGCTAGCTGGATTCCTTGGGTTTGGAGTGAGGTGGAACAAGAAACCCCAGACCTGGGAAGACCTCTGGAAATACTAACTCTGCTTCTTTGCTTGTGCATGCAAGCCATGGGTAACTGGGACTGAGGAACCTCGTCCTGGTACAAGGACCACTCCAGGACCCAGATCAGGGCATACAGGTCCTGTTGTGTTTTATAAAAAGAAAGATAGAACCAAGATATGTTTGGTAGAGGTGCAGTATGATGTGGTGGAAGGGGGTACCTCTGTGGGCCCATGCTGAGGCATCCCTTCCCCCTGAGGTACCAGCCATAGATGGATATAGTATAGAATAGAGTTTATTTAGGGCATGGGGAGGGAAGTTGAGGAGGGAGTAGAGACAGAGAAAGGCAGAGGGGTGGGGACAAGAGAGGAGTAGAGGCTGGCCATGAAGACATGGAGAGAGAGGGGGAGGGGAATGGGGAGAAAAGAGACAGAGGGGAAAGAGAGTAAGAGAGTGAGGAGGGGGCAAAGAGCCCCTTTTATACTAAGTCAGGCATACCTGTATGTTGCCAGGTGTCTTAGTTAGGGTTTTACTGCTGTGAACAGACACCATGACCAAGGCAACTCTTAAAGGACAACATTTCATTGGGGCTGGCTTACAGATTCAGAGGTTCAGTCCATTATCATTAAGGCAGGAACATGACAGCACCCAGGCTGGCATGGTGCAGGAGGAGCTGAGAGTTCTACATCTTCATCTGAAGGCTGCTAGCACAATACTATCAGGCAGCTAGGATGAGCGTCTTAAAGCTCATGCCCACAGTAACACACCTACTCCAACAAGGCCACACCTTCTAATAGTGCCACTCCCTGGGCCGAGCATATACAAACTATCACACCAGGTAACTGGGGCAGAGCCTAGAAGGAAAGCTAACAGGTCGAGGCTTTAGGCCTTGGGGTCAGAGGGACCCAGGTCAAGGGTTGACATGGGGCAAGACAAGTGTCTTTCTGAATGCCTCCCTCTGTCAGTTGCTCTGAATTCTGCCAGTCAGGTGACACGGAAAAGGGCCTATTGGAGTGGCTGAAACGGGAGAGTTGGCTGAGCCCTGTTGAAGGCTTCCTAAAGCAAAGGACCTGCTGCCTGAGAAAGGAGATTAGGGCTGTGATGGCGCTGGTTGGAGTTGAACTGAGAGGAACGTCTAGGCTGAAGTTTATAGACTCTATAGAAGTGTTCTATAGTATAGCGTTCTAAGAGATTAAAGCCTCTGAGCAGGGAGGGCCAGGGATATGACTTGTGAACTAAGAAAAAGGGGTAAGATAACATGTCTGAGCATTCAGGGAAGGTGGATGAGAGTCCCCAAGCTTACAGGTCCAGGGCCTGGGGAGTCCTGAGTGGAGTCAGAGATGTCTCTGAGGTCCTGGTGCCAGATAGGAATCCTGGAACTGGAATCCTGAGACTCTAAAAGAGTCGAGAGGGGAATCCTGATCAATGCCCAAGCTCTAGGACTGAAGAATCTCGAGCTCCTCGTGTGGAGGAGGGGGCGGTCCTGGAGCTAAAGCAGGGAATGGGGACTTGGGGTGGAGGGCTGAGGAGGTTTCAGAGCTTCAAGGGGAAAATCGGGAAAACACTGGCGAAATCCCAAGGTCTAAGGATCTTAGACTCCAGGGGCTGGGTTTAGTAAGGCAGCTTCCTGTTGCCTAGCAACAGGGGCCAACCCGGAAGTGGCCTTCCTGGCTTCCTGCCATGTGTCAGTCTCGCTACCCCACCCCCATCCCAGCGTGGTCCATATGTACTGCGCCTGCGCCTGCACGGCTGTTGCCCCTCCCCGAGCTGGACCGAGCGGGGAGCAGAGCTTGTGAGGCTGTGTCTGTATTTAAGCCTTTTTGAATGCCTTCTATCTGTACCCGGCAGCCACGTGGACCATGCAGCAGGGAGGGCAAGAGGGTGAGAGGCTCTTGCAGTCACACAGCAGGGAACAAGAAGAGTGGTTGCCTTTGTGCCTCAGAGCCTCAAGTCCTCCCCGTGAGCCTTCAGTCTACTGCTGGGAGATGGTACTGCACTCCATGCTGGAAAGCAGGTCTTCGGTCCCTATAGGCCCCCGGAACCCTTCAACACCCCCTAGCAAAAACATCTGGCCTAACCAACTGGCCTGTGGTGTTTGCCCCCTGTAGGACTCTGCTGAGCCCGGGATGCTCTGAGCTTTACCCCCAACTGAAGGATTTAGAGTTTCGGGTGTTGTATGCCGTGAGGCTGGGTGCAGTTCAAAGGGGAAAGGAGGGACCCCAGTGGCCCATCTTAGGTTCTGTGGAACCGTTGTAGGTTATTAAGCAATGGAGGAATCGTAACGAATTTACAATGAGATGAAGTTGCCTGCCTTCACAGTGGCCTAGAGAAACAGGATCCGGGAAGAGGAGATAAAGACACAACTTCGGGTGCTGACCTGCCTCTGCTCAGGAAACAACATTGCCTAGGGACTAGGGACTAGGCAGACATACTGGGCCAATCAAAGGAGGGAACCTCTCCCTCACCCCTACCCATGACCAGGCCTCCAGAAGTGTGGTTATCTTTTGCACAGTGAGGGGACCAGACACCAGCAAAGGCTCGCTTTGCTCAGACACTAACTCTGAGCTCTTGCCCTGTGTCCCCTTTGCAGGCCGCTGCCAAGGAAGCAAGCAACCTCTTGGATTTAGGGAATCCGGGGCAGGCACTGAGCTACTGTTCTTTGGCCATCCTGGCCGGAGAGGGCAATCCTTACCATCTGCGTCTCCGAGTGGCCTGCTTGACCCAGCTGCGGGAGTATGACCGGGCGCTCAGGGACCTGGACCGGGTGCTGCAGCAGCCTGTAGAGTACAGTGACCTGCCAAGAAGGACAGAAGATTTCTGCACCCGGGGTCGCCTGCTTCTGAGTCTGGGGGATAAGGATGGAGCCTCAGAGGCCTTTACCCAGGCTTTGGCCCTAGCACCAGCCCAGGCTCAAAGCAGCCTGCTGGAGCAACCAGGCCGGGCCACGACAGCCAGTGTGTTTCTGATCCGTGGGCAGCGCTGTCTAGAGGAGCAGCACTTGGAGGAGGCCTGGACAGCAGTCCAGAATGGACTCCTGGTAGACCCCAGCCACAGTGGGCTAAAGAAGCTGAAACTGAGGACTCGCAAGGTGGCCGCCTCTGGCTGCAGGCTGCACTAACCAGTAGCTAACCTGCCTGACTCTTCCATCAGCACCTAACTTCTCATCTAGGGTATACCTGGCTCCCCAGACCCAAGAGTGGCTCTCTCCACTGGCCACCCTTGCCTGTCCTTTGCAGTGGGATTAGAGGAGAAAGTTCTTGCTTATGCAGAACAGCTGGCCTGGGTAGCTCACAGCCCCACTGCAGTGGGTAGCCTCAGTGCTCTGCTCACACCTGGGAAACGAGAAAGATCAGGGTTAGCACCTCAGGGCCTAGCAGGAGAGTTGCTGGCCCAGGGAGCCCTCCCTGGGGAGGAGGCTGCTTAGAGCAGGCTCCCGCATTAACCGAGGTCCAGATTCCTGGCTACCTGTGTGACCTTGGGAGGTCATTCTCCAGGGACCCAGTGTCCATGCCAGCAGGCACAACCCAGGAAACCCCTTTCCTCCACAGGACCCTGAATCCTCGTAAGGTTGAGAGACTCCAGGCTTCCACTTGGCCTGCCCCTGACCAAGGTGTCAGCCTGTGATTTGGTGCATCTGAGCTGAGACAGTTACGTGGACAAACGTCCCATCCAGTCTCGATCCCTGCCAGTGGGGCTCTAGTATGTCACCTTCACTACGACCGTCACCAAAGCTGTCACAGGGGCCAGACTGGAGTACTTATGCACCCACCACATTGGACAGGACTTCTTGACATGACATAACAAAACCCTTCCTGGCTTCTCCTGTGAGGGGTAGGGCAGGGTCTGAATCCTAAGACTTCCCTTTGCCCTGGGCTGCCTTCTCCTGCCCTTCCTCCCTGCAGTCCTTTTAGAACCATGGAAACCCACTGTCTCGCCTCCTACACAGACAGACCCCCAGGCTCAGATACAAGATTCCTGACCCTGCCCATCCCCAGGGCAGTGATGAAGTAACTGGGTAGGATTACCTGCGTCCTTCCTACAAAGCCACCTCACCTGCCTGACAACATCCCTCTGTGGTGTGGGACCCCTCCTCCCTGCTGCTATAATACCTGAGACCTGCCAAGCTGAGCCTCCGTGTATTCCACAAGAGGACCAGGAAGAACAGGGAGCCCTGCAATGCTCTTCTGTGAGGCACACCCTGGTTCCTGCTGTCCTTCCCGACCATGAGCTCTAGGATAGCCTGGTGCACGTCTCCACCAGGTTACCCTTTCACCCATCTCACACCCATCTCTCCACCTGTGCATCCCTTGGCACCGCAGACACTTGCCGACACCCAGCAGCACCATGGTCAAGCAGTTGTCACCTGGTGTACCCTCTGCATCCTGTGCCTTTGCTGCCTTTCAGCCTAAGGTGTCCTGTCACGCTCATCCACTCCAGGATATCTCAGCCCTTGTCATTCTAAACATGAAGTTACTCCAATCTGGCAGAGCTACTCCTGGCCACCAGGGGCATCACCCAGCACCTTGTGGTTCATCTCTCAAGGACTTAGCACAGGCTCACACATGCTCATACACACAGACACACACACACAGACACACACATGCATTCTCTCTCTCTCTCTCTCTCTCTCTCTCTCTCTCTCTCTCTCTCTCT